CTGCTACCACCTCCAAGCATCAAGATACTGACGAAAATTTATAATAGATGCTTAGAAATTGGGTACTTTCCGACCAATTGGAAACATGCTCTGGTAACCATGATACCCAAGCCCGGAAAGCCGATCTTGCCTCTTATCGTCCGATTAGTCTCCTATCGATACTCTCCAAAATACTCGAAAGAGTGTTGAGCCCTTTATTATACAATGTCTACACGGCCGGTCTTCCAGTTTTGGAGCCCCAACATAATGGCAGCGACCTATGCGGAAAATACCGCCTTCCTGACCGCTGCTGACAATGATCTTCTCGGCGATTGGCAGAGAAGGTGTGAAGGAATATTCAAGTGAATAAAGATAAATCCACCGCCACCACATTTTCTCTCCGTCGGGGAAATTGCCCACCGGTCCACCTCAACAGCTCCCCCATCCCCAAGATACCTGGGCTTCACGCTAGACAGAGGCTTACTTGGATGCCTCACCTAGTCAAAAAGCGAAAACAGTGTGAAGTAAGATTAAAGGCGTACTATTGGCTGATAGGTAGGAGGTCGAAGCTAAGGACCTCTTCGAAAATCCTAATCTACAAAGCGATTATTCGGCCAATTTGGACATACGGGATCCAAAATGCGGACTATCAAGACATTTGAAAATAGAGCTCTTCTTATCTCCACTGGGGCCCACGTTTACCACGACAACCAGATAATCCGCGAGGTGCTTGGCTTCCCATGGGTGAAGGAGGAGATCCAGAGAAGCAGCAGCAAGTACATCCAGGGACTACACAACCACCACAACGAGTTGGCGACCACTCTCCTCGACAAAAGCGAACAGATGCGGAGGCTGCGCAAATCTCACCCGCTGGACCTCATCCGGAATTACTCTTAGACTTTCTTATTTTTCCACCTCAAACTTAAGTTACACATAAGCCAATATTTTATGGCTGTTCCTATTGGACTGTTTTAAATAAAACCACCCATTTCAAAATAAAAAAAAAAAAAATCGTCGAGAGCACCAGAGCAGCCAAAACATATTTTTGTGGCTAAATCTAGGTACTTATAGAGTTTTAAAGTTATTTTTCTGTGCAAAGTTGTTTTTTATGCTTATAAAAAAGCAGTTTAGTTTTTTTATTTCTTATATCTTATATCTTGGCTTGCAATTCTCTCGAAAAGTTAATACCACCTGTGCCCAAAAAAATGTAATCAATTCGTCTTGGGTTGCAAACTGCACAAGAGAGCGAGCGAAAATTCTTACTGAAAGAAATGTTTAATGAAGATTGGGAAAAAACATTTTATTATACCAAATATGGATGGGGATGCCCAAATCGATTTTATTCTCTCATCATGTACACGTTATAAAATTGAACACCATTATAGTACCCGACATTCCAGTTTTAATTTATTGAGTGAGGATTTTACTCAAAAAGTATTGGAGCTAAAAGCAAAATATTTTTCAAGTGAAACTTCTTTAGGCGCATCGGGGGCCCCGAGGCAGATTGAAAATAGGCGAGTGAAACGGTAAGTTCGGAGCGTTACTGAAATCCGTCAAATGGGCGGGGCCAAGGAGCAGCTGCTCCTTCCCACTCTCGCCTATTCGCTCTCTCTGTCGCTCTCTCGCATCGCAAGCGCTGAACGATGTGAGGGAGCCACCGAGACACGCCGTCTCTTCCCTTCTCTCTCGAATGCCTTTCTTTCTCTCCTGTTTGCTCTATAGCAAACTACCAACGCCGTGCATCAGCCGTTCAGTAAGTGTGAAGCGAGGATGGGATATTGCGTTGACCTGTGATTCGCACTGAACGAAGCGATATTCTTAACAATATCGCTTAATCGAAGGAATATACGTATTACGGCTATTGATTTTTCTTTATTCAGTAACTATTTAGAAGGAATTCAGTGTGTGTTGGTGAACAATTAAGTTACGGGCAAAATGAGTCAGAGTGAGACTGATGTGACGAAAACTTGCGCATCAGATGCGACTCATCAACAGATAGTTGTCTCCAATATGCCTGATGAAATTCATGGCAATCCAAGGTAAATATATATTAAGTAAATATATCAAATGAATATATAAAATAACAAAAAAGGAAAGCTAACTTCGGGCGGAGGCGAAGTTGATATACCCTTGCAGTTAAAACCGGATATATATCGCAAACATCAGATGTAGTTGGCCGATCCTTGTAATTACATCATAATAAAACCAATTAATTACAATAAAAAATCTAACAAGAAAGGAAAGCTAACTTCGGGCGTAGCCGAAGTTTATATACTCTTGCAGTTAAAACCGGATATATATCGCAAACATCGGATATAGTTGGCCGATCCTTATGGGAAAAGGAATATATAATCCAATTTATTACAATACAAAATCTAAAAAAAAGAAAATAGAAGATTATTTTCAAAAATACGAAAGTTGATATTTCTACCAAATACCATTTCCGATCGTTCAGTTATATGGCAGCTATAGGACATAGTCGACCGATCCGGGCCGTTCCGACTTATATACTGCGTGCAAAGGAAAGAAGGGTGTGTGCAAAGTTTCAAGACGATAGCTTTAAAACTGAGAGACTAGTTTGCGTAGAAACAGACAGACGGACAGACGGACATGCTCATATCAACTCAGGAGGTGATCCTGATCAAGAATGTATATACTTTATAGGGTCTGAGATGTCTCCTTTGACGCGAAAGCTATTTTTGGTTATAAATTGCGACATGCCAAATTTCATAAGGATCGTCCGACTATATCTTATAGCTGCCATATAACTGAATGATCGGAAATTACCCAACTTTCGTGTTTTTGAAGATAGAATGCTAAAACTTAGTACAGATTCTAATTTTGGTCATTTGATCCAACGTACCAGATTTCATTAGGATCGGCTTACTATATCCTATAGCTGCCATATAACTGAAGGATCGGAAATGGTATTTGGTAGAAATATCAACTTTCGTATTTTTGAATATAGAAGCTTGGGACTTTTTTTTAGATTTTTTATTGTAATTAATTGGTTTTATTATGATGTAATCATAAGGATCGACCAACTGTATCCGATGTTTGCGATATATATCCGGTTTTAACTGCAAGGGTATATCAACTTCGGCTCCGCCCGAAGTTAGCTTTGCTTTCTTGTTTAAAAATTTAATTGTGGATGTGGTTACTTGTTTTAAAGACGTGGGAAAAGAAGTATTGGAATTATGCCAAAAAGTATCACTATCTCCCCGTACTATAACGCGTAGGACAGAGCAAATAGGAAAATTTATTTTTTCTGAAACAAAAAGAGGCTCTTGAATTGTAAATATTTTTCAATGTGCTTGGATAAAAGTACGGACGTTAACAATATTTCTCAACTTGTTATATGTTTGAAAACTTTAGATGAAAATTTATCTTCTTTTGAGGAAATGTACGATGTAATTTCTCTTCATGGGCATGTAACAGACCAAATTTCATTTGATACCTTTTTTTTTAATATATTAACCAAAAATAACATAAGTAATTTATCTTCAGTTTGTACAGATGGGGCAAATGTGATGACGAAAAAAACATAGGGCTTGAGGGGATTTAAAAAAAAAATAAATTTTTTGTCCGTTTATTCATTGCGTAATTCATCAGGAAGCTCCTTTTTAAAAGAGTTAAGGATGTCATGAAGAGGGGGGTATAATTCTTTATCACATAGAAAATTTAAGGTATTTCTAGATGGACTTAAAGCAGAATATGGGGATTTATTAATGTATACGGAAGTTAGGTGGTTAAGTCGGGGGAAATTTTTGGAAAAGCTTTTTAATTTAAGAAATGAATTTTTCTGAAAGTTTTGGGACAGGATGTTGATGATCTCATTACTTCATTTGAAAAAAAAGATGTTTTAATAGATTTAGCCTTTTCTGTGACACACGTATATTTAATGATCTCGATTTCTGTCTGCAAAGCAAAAATAAAGAAAATTTAGATATAATAAAATCTATAGATATGTATAAAAGAAAACTTAGAATACTTATAACTCAATTAGAGAATATTCTATATGTATATATAAAAATGAACCGTTTTCCGTCGTCACGACATTGATTTTTTTTTTAGTTTTCATTTTTATATCCTTGCAGAGGGTATTATAATTTTGTCTAAAAGTGTGCAACACGGTGAAGGAGACATCTCCGACCCTATAAAGTATATACATTCTTGATCAGGATCACCTCCTGAGTTGATATGAGCATGTCCGTCTGTCCGTCTGTCCGTCGGTCCGTCTGTCTGTCTGTTTCTACGCAAACTAGTCTCTCAGTTTTAAAGCTATCGACTTGAAACTTTGCACACACCCTTCTATCTTTTGCACGCAGTATATAAGTCGGATTGGCCGACTATATCCTATAGCTGCCATATATGTAACTGATTGATCGGAAATGGTATAACTTCGGTGCTTTTAGAGTTAGAGTCAACATTTACATGAGCGCTATTTTTGGCAAAATAATACGACATGCCAAATTTCATAAGGATCGGTTTACTATATCCTATAGCTTCCATATAACTGGACTATCGGAAATGACCCAACTTTCGTGTTTTTGAAGTTAGAAAGCTTGAACTTGGTACAGATTATATTTTTTGTCAGTTAATCTGACCTACCAAATTTCATAACGATCAGTCGACTATATCTAATAGCTTCCCTATATCTGAGCGATCGGAAATGGTTTTTGGTAGAAATATTAACTTTGGTATTTTTAAAGAAAGACGTTAAGGACTTTTTTTAGATTTTGTATTATAATAAATTGGATTATATTATCATATTCTCATATGGCCAACTATATCCGATGTTTGCGATATATATCCGGTTTTAACTGCAAGGGTATATCAACTTCGGCTCCGCCCGAAGTTAGCTTTCCTTTCTTGTTTTATTTTATTTTTTAGTTTTCTAATACTCTGTACAAGGTACTTACGGAAAAAAATATTAAGAAAGAGTTCTTAAGTTGCCGCGAAAACCATAACAACAGCCCTTTTATATTTCTTATTCACAAGCGAATCAAACTAGCCTGGGGGCTTGTTGTCAAATATTATGTGACATAGTGACAACACATTCATTTCTTTTATTTTAAAGACTAAGAAGTTTTTTGTTTGCTAATAAGTGTTTGTTAGTCACGGTAAGTTCACTTCACTTTGTATCGTTTTTTGGTAACCTTTCGGTGACTACACAGAAACCAATACAAGAAACCAACAATGCCAGCAACCAGACGTATAAACTTAAGCCGCAGAACTCGAAATACAGCAAGTCAAAGATATATAAGAGCAAATCTAACTGATGAACAACGCGAAGCTCGAAATGAACTTCAACGGAATCGAAATCAACATAAAAATGTTGTGTTTAATCCCCACAGAGCTGCATTTAGTTATAATGTGGCAATTGATTACAGTTCAGAGCCAATTGTTGCTATTGGACTAATGAATATTGTGTGTCCACATTGCAATGCATTGAAATTCAAAAAAGAAGCCCCTGGATTGTAGCCATTGGTACCACCACCAGAGCCACTACATTTATTTGTTATGGAAATGGGCCAGATTCTAATCATTTTTTGACTCATATCCAGCAATACAATAATTGCTTTCAAATTACGTCATTTGGCGCAACAAAAGTTATTCGAGACAATTTTTTTACCTACTTTCAAAGTAAGTAAGTATAATGGCAAACAATTTGCTCTACAATTACCTAAATACATTTTTATATTCTTGCAGATTCAGGGTCAAATATATCATAAAACAGGTTCCTTATTGCCAGTGCCTGATGATGACTATAAATTTTTGCAAATATATTTTAAGGGCAATTCAACAAAAGAAGTCGATCAGCGTTTTGCACACAACAACTCAGTGAAAAGATTTATTGTGGAACAACTTCAAACATTTTTCCATCAACACAATGGATTAGTTGCATTATTCACAACTGCATTAGACCGCATGCCATCAAATAATCATAAAATTGTCATTAATTTTATGAGGCGCCTGCAGGACAACATGCTGGACGTTTTAATGCGCCAAGAAATGATGAAGTGTCTATTGTCGTCGTAGGAGAAAATTTAGAAAAGCGAGTCATTGTTTTACATCGACGGAACGATAAACTTAAGCGTGTGTCTGAAACACATCGATCATATGATGCTTTACAATAACCTTTCCTATATTTTGGCAAGGTGAAGACGGCTATCATTTTTAAATTTGGATAATAAATACAGTTACAGGTAAATTAACAATATATGTTTACTAACTTAAAATTTATATTATTAAAACAAAAAAATTATTTACAGGTGCTGAAACGAACAAAAAAGTCAGTTCAACGAATTATTATTCATACAGACTGAAGGTTCGCTCAAAGAGGACAATCACATCTTTAAGTAGGGGTGCCAAAGCTCTGCACACAGGAGAGCTAACTCCCACACCAATGCAAAAAATCATTAATACATTGGTTCGAGAATTTTTTTCACATCCATGTGGGTGCACTGAAAAATAAAATTATAGTAACAATCACAAGGGGTTTAAAAAATATCAATATAATAAAAAAAAAATACTGGTCGAGTATTTTGGCAGAAACAAAAACAAGAATGAATTTCTTGCAGTGAAAAGTTTTCGGTACTCCAACAACAAAATTAAGGATTCTCCGACGATTGAGAAGAATAGGGAAAACACGAAAAATGGTTTTTGTTATTGCCCTTTGCTTATGCTGGGACCAACGAAGCTTATGGCGTGAGCAACGGAACCTTATGGCACAACTCCGTATGCATGAGCATTTCCAAAAACAAATGAGCAGCGAGAGCAATGCATTGCTGGGATGAGCAACACAGTCTTAAAGTGTCGGCGTCTATTTCACCAATATGCTGTGGATATATGTATATGTGAAAGTTGAAACTGAACGATTGACATTTATCAGGTTGAACCAAGCAAAACTGCGTTCCGAGGAATAAATTCATCTTCGGGGTGCCATTAATGCTGATTGAAATGCACAGAATGTTGGCAGAACAACTATTCTCCCAGCAACATACGTCGGAAGTCCGCGACATATGCATGAATATGCGCAAGATGCGAGGTTGTATAGGCGACATTATGGCACACCAGATTTGTTTATCACATTTACATGCAATCCAGAGTGGACAGAAATTCAACAAGAATTATTTACTAGACAATCAGCTATTGATCGCCACGACATCACTGCAAGGGTGTTCAAAATGAAATTAAAATCACTCAAGGATTTCATTGTTAATCATTGCGTGTTCGGCGAGACGCGCTGTTGGATGTCGAGTGGCAAAAACGCGGATCGCCACATGCACATATCTTTATTTGGTTGGTTGAAAGGATAAGAACTAATGAAATTGATATTGTGATATCAGCAGAAATTCCCGATAATGATGAAGACGCACTGTTACATGAGGTTATTACAAAAGATGGTGTATGGTCCATGTGGAATATTAAATCCCATTTCTCAAAAACATTAAGTAGCAGAAACTATTACTGGAAATGATGGATATTCACTTTATCGCCGCCGATCCATTGATGATAATGAAAAGTCCACAAGTAAAGGGGCCCTACTTGAACTTGGCCCTACATTCGTGCGAACATAATTTTTCAATAAATTTTCAAACAATTTTCAAAATATCAACATGTCAAGGTACAACGACAGCAGCACTGTAATTGCACTTATGGCAATAAGTATTCGCTTAGAAAAAAAGAAAAAAAAAAAGGAAGCACAGTAGGTATGCGGCTAAAAATCACCCATACGAAGCTTTTAAAGGAGTTGCATGAAACGTCTCCTATGGATTTAAAAAACTTTCTTCAAATGGACAGTTCTACATATAAAGAACTGTTAAATTTAGTAGAGCCTGAAATACGAAGACAGGACACAAATGCGTGAGGCATGCATTATTACGCAAATGCTTGTTTTTATATGCATCGCTTTTGGCGTGCCATAGCGCAGGCTCATTTTAGGCAATAAATAAAATCTTGCAGGAATGTTTTGTTCATTTTGCTCTACCAAAACGTTTTTCAAACTGACGTTCGTGCCAACATTGCCATCCATTGGCAAACATGTTGCCAATGTTGTTAAAATAGAAAAATTTCAATTTTATTCGAACATTTTGACGAACACTACCATCCACAGGAAAAATTTCGTCGAGCACAACATGTTCGCACAAAATGCTCGCCTGTGGATGGGCCCCTTAAGGATGTAGTCTCATGTGTGAGGTTGAAAAAATCAATTTTTTTTTTTTTTTTATATTTTGATAGTATTGTTTATTATGAATGTACTGTTAAAGTTTCAAATAAAAATATCAAATAATGACAGAGATACAGCCCATAATCGAGAGCGCGCCTACACCGAAAAGTATGAGTTTCTCGGTAGCGTCTAAACTTTAAACGCGCTTTTCTCGAAACGACATTTTTGTGTGCGGCGCAGGTGATTCACAAAATTCTATGGTACCGATCTAGCTGAAATTTGGATATGTTGTTCTAAAAAGTAACACCTCTGTCCCGTACTAGAATCATTTATTTTTAATGATTAGTTTTTTTTATCATTAATTTAAGACAATTTTTTTAAATTAAAACAAATTTTTTGTTTTGTGAGTTCGCCATTTTGTTGTTTATTGATGAAAATATTTCATTCTAGTCCGGGACAGAGCCATTAGCTTACAAAACAATAATCTATTCTAATTTTTTGTTTCGGATGACTCTAGCAGTCGAAATCACCTGCGCCAGGGACCTATCTTTTTTTTTATATGCATACTTTGGCATGCTATAAAGTGTATTCAACTACACAAGAATAAATTAAACAAAATATTTTCAAATAGTTTATGATGCTTATAAAAACATATTTGAAAATTGAAACGATCGCATTATTTTTTATTACAAAAAATTTTTTTTGAAATAACCTCTAAAAAGTAGGCCGGCACATGAGACTACATCCTTAAATCAACCGGACATTAAAATTGATAATCGTTGAGTTGTTCATAAAATGGGTTAGCTATACAAAATAAAGTAGTGCTACGCTTAGGCAGTTCGCCGGGTCAGCCTTGAAAAAAAAAAAATACTACAAACACTAAAATACTATTACGGACCCTAAAACGAAACAGTACCTTGTATAGGTACACAGGGCATCTTGTATATATATAAATTTAGAAAAAATTCAGGAATTATTTTTACAATTAAATATTAATAATTGTGAAAAAATAAGAGTTTGTAAATACAATAAAGACCTTATTACAATATATATAACCGCTTTCAGGATCTTAATTCTTTAAATGCCCTTTTCGACTTACATAATTTTTCTGTGATATTAGTAATTTAGATACCAAAATACACAAAGAGATTAATAATTTAAGAAATCATTTTGGAATTCCGTTAGAAACAGGAAAAAATTCCTTGGTTTCACATTCAAAAAAATAAATACCCCCCAAGCATAAGAGTGAAATTTTTAAAATTTACTCTATGTTTAGAACTACATACAATTCTGAAGTAGCATTTTCACGTATGAAAAATATTTTATGAAAAAAAGGTAACAAAAGCTCCGATATTAATTTAGAAAAGTTATTGCGCATTAAAGAATTTAATGGAAAAATTAATTTAGTTGATCATTTGGATGTTGTCAAAGACGAATTATTTTTGCAGAGGGTATTATAATTTTGGTCAAAATTGTGCAACGCAGTGAAGGAGACATCTTCGTCCCTATAAAGTTTATATATTTTTGATCAGGATCACCTCCTGAGTTTATAAAAGCATGTCCGTCTGTCTGTTTCTACGCAAACTAGTCTCTCAGTTTAAAAGCTATCGTCTTGAAACTTTGCACACACCCTTCTTTTCTTTGCAAGCAGTATATAAGTCGGAACGGCCCGGATCGGCCGACTATATCCTATAGCTGCCATATAACTGATTGATCGGAAATGGTATAACTTTGGTGTTTTTAGTTAAAGAGTTCAAGTTTTACACGAGAGCTCTTTTTGGCAAAATATTGCGACTTGTCAAATTTCATAAGGATCGGCCGACTATATCCTATAGCTGCCATATAACTGAACGATCGGAAATGACCCAACTTTCGTGTTTTTGAAGATAAAAAGCAGAAACTTAGTACAGATTCTATTTTTCCTAACATTCAACCTACCAAATTTCATAAGGATCGGTCGACTATATCCTATAGCTGCCATATAACTGAACGATCGGAAATCGTATTTGGTAGGAATACCAACTTATGTATTTTTGAAGATAGAATATTGGGACTTTTTTTTAGATTTTTTATTGTAATTAATTTGTTATATTATGATATTCTCTATGAGTTGTTAATGACTTGCCCTCTAGATAAGAAGAACTCTCTAGTTCTTATCTGCATATGTACATAAGAACTAGAGCTAATGATGTTAAGCTTTGTCTTCAATTCAAATCCATGGATCAAAATGCAAGCTTATGTCTTCTTATCGTTCTTGCCCTCTGCAGGCTACATATACTCTTTATGGGATTGCCTTAAAGAAATTAACTCAGGTTAATGATCTCGGCGTCCTATTAGAAACTAAACTTAAAATTGCCGACCATATTTCCTCCATGGTTAATAAGGCTAAGAAAAATTTGTAATAGAAGTACGAAAATTTCATTCCTCTATTCCTTAGCCATTGTAGTTCGACATATGCACAGCACGACCCTTTTAGGGTCTTATGCTCAAACTACAATGGTCTCTACTCTATAACATCTCTTTTCTGTCCTTCAAATTTTAAATATAGAATTTTAAATTTCCGTACGAACTCCTCCTAATGCACGAATTCTGGGTTCTTTGCGCTATTCACCAACTGAATAGATTGATTTTATTTATTAGTTGCCAGAATATATATATTTTTTTTTATTATAGGTTTGCTTTTATTTATTGAATCTGTTCTTATTTTTGAGACTAACAATAAGTTGACGAATCTTAACATTAAAATTGAACTAACAGTATACTAAGACTGCATGTTGAGGCTGGAGCTCATATGATAGAGTCGGCAAAGTAAACGCAGTGGTGGCAGAATTTGGTTGGAAGACATTTTTAAGGTGTTTGCGTCGCTGCGCGCTCGAGCTGCAGAGACGAGTACAGACTCCAGTAAATTAAAAAAACTGTCTACGTTGGCTTCGTCGCTGAGGAGAGGACTTAGCTCAATGAGTGAGCTTATATACTTCCTGTACTTAACCCAATTGGTTTTATGTGAGGTCAGTTTTTATGATTGGTGAAATGTTCCTGGGTGTCGGAGTAGAGTAAAACGGACAGGCGAGTAATCAGATGAAAGATCCGAAAGGCATTCGGCGCTTATCAGATTTTTAGGGAAGTTTTTGGTAATCGCAAAGTCTATTAAATCGGGAAGTTTCTTTGTGTCTGCCGGCCAGTATGTTGGTGTGCCAGAAGAAACGTAGTCTAGCTTGTTCTTAGCTTTGATAATTGCATTACAGAGCTGCTTTCTTTTTGGGGTCACGAGACGAGATCCCCAGTGTGTGTGCTTGGC